GACTGGACATCTCCATTAGGTCCAAAGTCCAATAGTCCATTATTGAAAATTGGAAAATGTCCAATTCCAACACTGGACCTTATGGAATCAATCCAGTGAAGTTTTTTTTCTAGTGATGATCTGTGTAGAAAGATAAGTTTTATTACATTTGTGTATGAAATTATAAACAGTCAATAAATTCAAAATTGGAATAATCTTTGATATATTTCATCGATAAAATTCCAATCTTTTTATATTCATTATTGTCTATAATAATGTCCTTCGCTGCGTTCTGGAAAAAAATTAAAATATTTAATGTCATTTTGCCGAAGTTATTATTACCTTTACTTATCTTTTAATTAGTATAGTTCAACATAACACTGCAGCACTATCAGATATAGATCATGAAACATTTCTCTGTTGAAAGACGACGTCAAACTCTTTGATGCAAAGATCTAAACTTAATTAAGAAGTTGAAGGAAAAACCAATTAGAATACATGAAACAACCACGCGGAAAATTATTGTAAGTAAAATCATGCTAAATCCATCTTTCGATAATCATCAATTTAGAATTAAATTCGAATTTTGATCTTGATGTGAGTATGTAATATCAAGGCAAAAGTAGTCCTGGAAAATAATTATTTTAGGATGACACGTAATCACATTCAAAAATTAACATTAAATGCTAATTAATTTAATATGCAAGGAAATTTTTTATTAAAAGAGATGCCAAAAAATAAATATTATATTTTATCCATTAAATTTAATAGTACACACAAAGTTCAAACCCATATTTAAGAAATAATTAGATCTCATCAAACCATAATACTGTGCAAATTTGCAAATTTTGTTGAGACTCATGATTTTGAAATCAAAATACACAGAAAAATAGCAAAATGTCCAAAATTTGGTGTCATTATTCTAAAATCTAGCCGAGCATTTAACCAACATGCCTTATAATTAGTCATTGGATAAATCAGGATATAAAGGTAAAATTTAATCAGTTTCGGTTGATTTTTGTTTTGCTTATACAAAGTAGTAAAAATAGCCAACCGTTGAAACTTACCCTACATACATATGATTTATATAATACCGCCCATTTGGTCTTTAATATTGAATCCTATTTTGCTCTGATATTTATTATAAACACTTGTGTTGTCCACAATGTTTTTCTGAGGAAAACTTGATAATATTTCTTACCAAATAAATTACGAGAGTCCGAATATGGCTTGTAATATATAAGGTGAATTTTTTATCACTTTATATTTGTATCTTGACCCATATATTTATTGGTAAAGGAGGTGAGGGGGAGAAGTGGAGTAGTATAGAAAGTAAAAAAAGATTTTGTTTAGATATCATAATTATAAATCTTTATAGGCTCTGCAAAAAAAAATTTCTATAAAATTAATAATCAATTTACGTCAACGTTAATATCCAAAATAAAAAAATATTATAAATTTTGTAATAAGCCGCACTGCTTACCTCGTCTCCTTTGTGTAAAGACTTATTTCTTTGTCGACAATATACAGTCCAGTTTTACTTCGTAAATAAACATTATTTGAAAGAAATTTGAATGAAATAATATTTGTTAAAAATATATTTTTTTGGCAATTTGAAAGATTTCGAAAAGCAACCAGACATCATAATAATATTTAGTGAAGTAAAAGAGGTAAATAACACTATATTCATGCCTTGATAAATTTTAAATAGTAATAAAAAATAAAAAAAATTTGAGTTAATAATTAACAGAGATCTCACTCGTTGCAACTATATCTCAAATTGAAACTAGTCATCAAATAGTCACTCAATATTGAGTCGTACCTGGATTAGCTAACCTATAAATCTCAAGCACTAATACTCATAAGAAGTTATTTTTATTTAATTTTTGAATCCTTTAAATTGCATATTACAGTACACGTGATTAAATAATAAATAATAGACAAGATAATGAAATTTTTTTATGATTAATTTTATTGTTTTTTTAAACATTTTCAAATCAAGTTAAATATAAATAAAACAAATAACAAAATATTTTTAATATTTTAATTAACTTCCATATATTTATAAATATTGGTTTGTTGTATACAGAACATAGTTAGTATTTTTACTGCCATACTTCCAATCACCTCAACAAAAACTCAACTTACTTTTTACGGTTTCATTATGAGACTAGTTATTTTGTATAAGGGATCATACGATACACGTAGCCAGATTTAGAATTTAGTAAGTTAAAAAAAATTTGATTTTGTAGATTAATTTTTTAGGCTGAAAACTGTTAAGAAATTGGGAAATTTTGGATGGCAATAGTAGAAAATGCTTTTGGTATTGGAATTATATTCATGAGATTGTAGAAACGTTTCTTGATTCTAATCGATCTATTTATGGCGCGTCAATTATTTTTAACGCGAACAATTCTCAGAAAAACATTTGATTATTAAAAAATGTTATTTATCATCAATTGCCAAGAAAATTATTATTCATTATTTATCAATAAATTTTACATTTTAACAAATTCTAATTTAATGAAAAATCAAACGCTTTTTAGATTTTATTATAAAAATTTTTCCTGTTTTTAAAAATCCGAAACGAGCGGGTTAAAAATTTTTTCAGATTTTACTGTAATTAATTTTTCTTTTTTTTTTTACTTTTTTGCATTTTAAAAATACGCAGTATGTAATTATTTTTAATTTCTTTTCGCAGTGATAAAATATAAAAGAAAATATGTAAGTAATTTGATCAATACCAGACGGTAGAGGTTGGAACCAATTGTAAGATATTTCAACTTTTGTTTATTTAGAAATGGTTGCTATAATTTACAGTAGAACAAAATTTTTAAAAATAATAATGAATGATATTAAAGATAGTGGTTTGTTTCAAATAAAAATGTTTTGATAATTTCAATTCTATGTTGAGATACGTAGACTTTTTATGACTTAAAATGATATTCAAAGGAAACTGGCAATGTTAGTATATCACTTATGAAAAAATTTTCAAGTTTGTGTGTAAGATTTTGCAGTTAATTTAAAGCAGTCTAACTCAGTCAATTTGACTTGAAATTTAATTCCATTGATGCCATTTAATTTCATTCAAGGTCATTTGCAAATATCGGTCAAACCAGCATCTATGATAAGGAATTAATTAAATTATTTTCAATATTCGATCACTTCAGTTAAATAAATTTTGAATTTATTTCCTTAGTTTTCGGCCCGTTCATTTAATTAGATTATTTGATTATTAATACCAGCCGATGCAAATTCTGGAGACAGTTTAGACATCCGTTATACACTTTTCATTCGACTACTGAGTCGTGACTCTTATTTGAAATTAGCGATCATAATTGTATTATTAATATCTTAATAATTAACAAAAATTATTATAATGTTGCAAAAAGTAGATAATTCATCATAAATAAAGCTTTCAAAATCCCATTCAACTAAATTTTATTTAATTAAGAATTTCACGACATTATATCAAATTTGGAACAGTCACAGCTCAGTCATTTGAAAATTCCAGAGTCGCCTCTAATTCCCACAAAAGTAAGAAAAAATTGCTTTTATTTATTTAGTTTTTATTTAGTTTCCATGGGTTTGTTTTTTTTTTCGCGTACGAGCTGCGACGATCGATCAATTTGATTTCTTTTTGATAAAATATTCCTTTTAGGTTCTTTTTTTCATTTCGGAAGTTATAGATATTGAATTATTTATATATTTCCCCTTTTTATATTTACCGAGGTACTTCCGTTTTGAAATCGTAACCCTTTAGTTTCCTGATACGGTCCACATTGAATGGATTCAAATTTGTCGATAAATCTTCATTTATGATTTTCTGGATTTCAACTTTTAATTTTACATTTGATATTTCAACATTTGATTCTAATTCTTGTACATTTGATGTTACAACATTTGATTCTAACTCTTGTACAACTGGTGTTTCAACATTGAGTTCTAATTCTTTTGAATTCATTTGACCAGCCAAATGATGAATATGTTCGGAATTATTTGATACATGACGATCATTTTTCTTTTAATAATTTATCTGATCAAATCGAATAATCTGAGATTCATTTCCAAATGAATGATTTATACTAGAAGAAGCATCGATGTTATTCAAATGATTTGATTCATAATTATTTGATTGATTATTTTCTGTTTTGTTTGTTACCGTAATAATAGCATTTAATTTATCAACTACATGATTCATTGACGATTATCTGGATCATTATCCCAGCACCCTGAAATTAGATAAAATTTAATTCACATTTATATTCTTATAAATAAATTCATAATCAATATTTACCATTGTAAATGTTCACATATTCTTCAGGTGTACCCGGAATGATCCTTTCTCTAAGTCCTCCTAAAATTTCGATAGCTAAACTTAAGTGGTATCCTTCATCTTTAACATAAAATGGAGGGCGACCGCTTGATATCTCCCACAATTGCACACCAACACTATAAACGTCACTCTTTTCGTTTAGTTTAAATGATGTTGATGTATTGTCATTTCTTCGTCTGTTGAAAACTTTTGGGTCAACATAAGGAATAACTCCAAAGGTTTTTGATTGATTAGTTGCTGCATCAATTCTTTTCGACAATTCAAAATCTGCTAATTTAATAACACCTTGACGAATCAATATATTTCCGGAATGCTATTATAGATATTATACAAAAAATAATTATTAATTATCAAAACAAAAAAAATATATATTATTATGTAAGCATACTGAAGGCGTGATCCATGCTACGCCAATCAACTATAGCCAATCATGTGATTTGAATTGGTTAGCCGATCTGACCGATA